GCATTTTATTTGTAAGATAAATTCCACATAAAAATTATGCACAGGCATTTTCTTATCACAGAAATATGCAAGGGCACCATGGCTACTTTTTTGAAAAGCAACACTTTTTAAAAACGTAAAGAAACACTAGGAATACTATCCCAACCCTAACTTCAAAACATCCTCTCAAGAAATGGCATAGAAAAGTGCTAAAATCTATAGTGATTGGTTTAAAAATTAAATTTTAAGGAAGCTATAGCAACAGAATTATCAGGATTGCCATGGAATGATCTAGAATATAGTCATGTTTGCACTCTCATGGACTAGCGGTTGAGGCATATTAAGTAGAAGTGACTGAGAGCATGACTCTACCAAGGTGTCTTGGAAATGTGGAATCCAGAGCAATCCAAACAGGCAAGTGTGGGTTACGTTCCAGGGAGAATAAGTATTGACAGAGGGATGATCATTTCTGAACTTTGTAAGATTGTTTTGGTAGTGTTTGGAGCGGTATCCAAAGATGATGAGCTCTTTCTGAATCCTACTCTCAGTGACAGGATAATTAAACACATACCGCTTCTCAGTTATGTCAGTTACAAGACAGCTAGTTCCCAGAGACGCTTCATCAGAATGCAAAAAGTAATCTTGACCAAGTAGAGTTGGTTCAACTACAGCCAAGAACATAGAAGAAGTACATCCTCCTACCACTGACTCTTGCTCAGAAAAAGCCAAAATCACACACAAAAAGAAAGATGACTGTAATCCTACAAAATCCATCATGATGTCAGCTGCCAATTAATGACCCCTGAAAAACACAGGAAATTCTATATGGACTTTGTTGAGCCACTATTCCCTTTTTATGTTGATGGAAGAAAGTTTACCTCCTGGAAAAGACAGATATGCTTTGATCTGACTATGTTACTTCATTCTTCTTGTGAAACAGCGGTTCCCTTTATTATTCACACTTAGTAGCAAAATCTCTTTCTGTGGCCTTTAATACCTTTATGAGTCTCATCTCATTCTGAGCACTACAGGTCTTCCTGGTAGTAGTATTAATAGTTTTATCATTAATAATGTGGTTTGCTTTGTATTTTGCATGCTTCGTTTTTTAGGTTTTAGCCCATTATAGAACACTACTCTAGTAGCACTAATTTAGAAACTATCCTCCCTTTTTTCTGGGATTGTTAGCACTTATATAGCGAAAATTATTGGAGATTTTGGTTTGTTTTAAAAGAGTCATATTCCCTCACAGGAATTTCTAATCTGAACTTTTTACAATATGCTCTTTTTAAAATATAGGCTGGGTGGCCATTTACGCCACATATAGTTAGCATTTCTTATTCTTCAAAGCCCTGAGGTAATATGGTGATTTTCTTCCAAAGTTCCTGACACTTCTACTTCCCAACTGGTTCTTCCCTATTAATCACGATTGAGCCTAGAATATCAGTTCTCCTTGTTGCCTTCTGTGTTTCCAGAAGGGAGACTTTGGCTTGGTTTGATGGCGTGACTATGGGACTGTCAGATGTGCCTCCCTTCCCAGCTTGGATTGAGGTAGAACCCGAAGACTCCTGTTTCCTCTCCCCACTTTCCCCCTTTCTGCTCCAGATTGCCTCTGTGTTGTGTTAGAGTGTCTTGTAGCAAAACTCAATCCCTGTCTCTGTTTCCTGGTTTTATCACTGGATACTTTTCTATTCATTTTGAAGAAAATTCTTCTCTAAAATAATTTGACATAAATTTTTAACAACTCAGCTAGTTAAGACCATTAGTAAGGATTAAAATATATGTGCTAACAAACTCATGGTGCTCCTATATAGAATAAAAAGCTTATATCTCTAAACTTTATGCTATATATAAGTATATTAGTTGCTCTGGCTTTTAAAGAAGTGGGACATTTTGACACTTCCTGTATATTTAATGTATTTCTCAAAATATTAGCTATGGTGCATGGTTTTAAACTTCTTTTGAAAAATGAAATTGTTTTTTACTTAGTTACATAGAAGATATGCAAAAAGAATAATAAAATAATCCACCAAACTTTGTATAGACAGATCAGAAACATTAAACTATAGATAGATAGGAACAGGAACATGTGTCAGGGGTCCCCCAAACCACTCCCAGTTTTGATGATTCTTTAGTAGGACTCATAGCTATGATTTGTTATAGCATAAAGATACAAAGCAAAATAAGCAAAGTGAAAAATTTCATGGCACAAAGTCTAGAGGGAACCAGGTTCAAGTTTCCAAGAGAAACTCCCAAGTTTCCTCTCCCAAGTGGAATCAAACAGGACATGCTTAATTCTTCCAGCAACAAATTATGACAACACATGGAAAGTGTTGTCTACAAGGAAGCTTATTAGAGACTCAGTGGCCAGGGTTTTTACTGGGGGTGGTCACGTAAGTACCCTCTGCCTAACCCATCCCAAAATTCCCGACTCCCAGACAGAAAACTAGTCTTCAGCATAAATTGCATTGTTTGTGCACACAGTTTAGGCCCAATGAACCATTCTTACCAGTTCTAAAAATGGTGGGAGCCCTCCCCAAATCCAAGTGTCCAAATGCCAGCCAAGGGTCAATCTTGCTAGCAGGCCTTTCTTAGCATAGGAAACTCAGCCAGCTATGTTGGTGCTTTTCTGCACAGGATCTCAGGGTGTTCTCACAGAAAAGTAAGGAAAGAGATTAATAGAGTCAAAACATAAATCTTTAAGTTGCTTCTAGATCTCTGGCTAAATCAGCTTAGATTATTCATGCAGATCATAATGATCACTTCTGAAATTCAAAAGTATAGAAATAAGAATGACTGACTGTCCTTCAATATATTTCTTAGTTTTTGCAAAACTCTTAGATAAAAAAGATTTTACTTTTAACAAGAGGGCTAGACCTGCATTTGGATAATCACCTACCTTGCAGGCAGTTTTTGGGTGTAATGCAATTTCTTGTCATTTGTAAACTTAAACATTCATTGTTTCAGCTATTTATGAGCAACTCTAAAGGCCTGTTAGGTGCCAGTTGGTAATTTTTCTGCGATGTAAATGTGAATGGAGCCCCAGAACCTCTACACAGGAGGCAGTCCACTGAGCTGACTGCCTGCCCTCTGCATTTCAATACTATTCTTGTTACAGCAGCAAAACTCATCCACCAGTGCCGGTGATGCAAGCGTAGAGTTCTAAGAAAATAGGCAGAAAGTAAAACATTTGGATAAACTATGTGAGTGGACTATGACAGTCTTCCAGATCCATGACATCCTAACAGCATTTGGAAACAAGAAAACAGGGTTCAGGTGATATTTTTAGGGAATCTCCCTCTAGCATAAAACTTGCTTATCCAGTGAGCGAACAAGTGAAAAGTGATGGGTAATTCATGTAAGGGTGGGCACAGGAAACAAAGCTACAGAGGAACTTTGAGGAGAAAGCCAGAAGCATATGCACGTGATCCCGTGTGAAGGTCTCAAAATCTTCACAGAGGCTGAGACTTTACTAGTTGTTTTGCATGGAGACACCTCACTTCTTTTAGTTCACTGGTTATAATGCATCATTTTATATGGAAGTGAATCTGAAAGGATGAATATTCCACATACTATAGCTTATTTTCTTGCTGATTCTGGTGAATTTCCTCAAGGTGAACAGCAGTACCCAGACTGGTCAAAACAGCTCCACTGCCCAATAGATGTGGTTTGCATAAATCTTGACAGCTTAATAACATATGTAGTTCCTTCCTGTTTTATGAAGCTTTTCTAAACATAAATTATCCCATTTATCTTTAAATTAGTTAAACGAGAACTTTTCTACCTAGTGTTTCTTTCATGAAGATATTAAAGGAGCTAACTGATATTAGCATGAGATGTTTAAAAGAACAGTGTGGAATGAATAAATACCTTCCTGCTATTTGCAAATATAAAACTTGCCTCAAATTTTTATCAGAACAATCCTCTGTAATTGACCTGTAGGACTTGATGCCAAATACCTGCACACATAGCCCTTAGTTATCTTTTCGTGCTTTTTTTTTTTTATCTCTATAGCTACCGTTTATCGACCGAACTACTTCTCCCCTTTGAAATAAAGGAGAAAGAATCACTAAACATTAGGATAATAACTTACACAAAATTTTTTAGTTTAGCCGTTTGTCTAGTGGTTAAATTTTGTCACTGTTTGTCCTCCTGGTAGATATTTAGCTGCTATGTGGTTAATATTTTCATTTTTTTAAGTAATCACTTGGCAGTTATCACTGAAATATAATTTATATCCCTGTTCTCAAAGTCATTTTATTTTAAATAAAACGTGGTGTTAGAAATATGCAGATTTCTGTCAGCATTTACCTTTGTTCTACTCAAATGTTATTTACAAAGGGTTTAGTGGAGATTCAAAATGATTATTAATTCTCTAAAGATATTTGTTGCTTAAGACCTTGGATTAGACTGGGTAGGCATCTACTGACTGTGGCATCCCTTATTTATTTAATGGGTATAATTAAATAGTTAAATGAAGGTGAATTATTGCTATGAAATAAAGACATCTAAAAGGCACTTTCTAACAGAATAAACTTAAAATTAGTTGCTGGATTTCATGTCTTTTTATTATTATTATTTTGAGACAGAGTCTCACTCTGTCGCCCTGGGTAGAGTGCAGTGGCGTCATAGCTCACTGCAACTTTAAACTTCTGGGCTCAAGTGATCCACTTGCCTGAGACTCCTGAGTAGCTGCGACTGCAAGCGCATACTTACTGATTGTTCTGTTTTTAGTAAATATGGGATCTTGCTCTTGCTCAGGCTGGTCTCGAACTCCTGAGCTCAAGCAATCCTCCTGCCTTGGCCTCCCAGACTGCTAGGATTACAGGCATGAGCCATGGTGCCCAGCCCAGGATTTTATGTCTTTTGTCACTAAAGAATTCAAATAGGAGGAATGTTTATCTACGAAAAAATTTCCTTTTTTCCTCCAAAATGTTCTCTTAAGCTGACATGTTCTCATTTTATTCATGTTACTTGTTAAATATCCTAGGTGAATCAGTATTAGTGAAGTATCCTACAGTACCCTGTGTTTATTGTTGTATTCTTTCTTTCCCTCTTAAAGACTCAATGATGAGGCACGGCGGCTCATTGCTGAATTGGGGAGTACATCTATTACTAATCTCGGTTTTAGAGACAACTGGGTCTTTTGTGGTGGGAAGGGCATTAAGACAAAAAGCCCTTTTGAACAGGTTAGTGTCTTAGATGCTCACAATTAACAAAAACAAATTGTGTGAAACCTTATGTTACATATTCCCATCCCAGTTATTTGAAAATTAGATGATGCAGATATTAATTTTGTGCATATATTTATCAAAAATTCTTGGTATTCAATTATTTGAAATAGCTATCAAACTTTTTAAACTCCAAAGCTTAAAAATCGTGTGTGGAAATTCTTTTTTCCCTGCATGACAATGCATTGGAATATGATTACTTTGTCTTAAACCTTTCAGGAAGCATTATTTATTAAGGATTTTAATTGCACTTTGGATATTGAAAGTTGTTTGGCAGTACTTTAGAACTTAATAGCATGTAAACTTTACTTTTTGACTAATGAATGATCCTTTAAAAACATCTGCAATGTTTTGTTCTTATAGCTATTATGATATTTGAAGGTCTGCCATCTATGTGACAGGGCCCGAGGGTCACTCATTTAATATGTTGAGCAATAATGTATATGAGCTCTTCATTGACATGAGTGCTACTGAAGTGTGAAAGTGAGTAAAGTATGTCACTGCAAATCACCAGTTCACAAAGGTTTTTTTAAACTGTATACTACTATTGTTTCCAATAGCACATAAAGAACAATAAAGATACAAACAAATATGAAGGATGGCCCGAAGTTGTGGAAATGGAAGGATGCATCCCCCAGAAGCAAGACTAATGGAAATATGGAGGAAATTGAAGAAAACGCACTTTCACTATTAATGGGAGAGCTAGAAAGAAGAAACTACGTGTAAATATTTTAAGAGCATGCAGCCATCTCAGTGTGTGCATGAGCATTGTCTCTTTTGATATCAGGATTATTTATTGCTAACGTAAATAGATAGCATTGTAAATAGTCATCATAATGAGCAAATCACTGAACCATTTCTTAGCACATTTTCCTAAAAGTACGATGTTTAGACTTCAATGGTAATAACACATTTTAATTCTAAAAGCATTCCCAGTGGATAACTGAATAGGTTGTGATATATATACTGGTTACTATGAAACTCTATCATGGAATAATACGGATTTTAGGGAAGAGACTTTGTTTTCTTTTATACATATATATGTTGCCTTGTGATGACAATATCTTTTAAATTAAAAAGAGATTTGGCTAGTTGTGTGTGTAATGTTACTTTATAGTCTGACTCTCCTGATGTACCTCTTAGTCTTTCTCTTCCCTTCCCAAGAAACCAAGAAATAAAATGTTTGATATGAAAACTTATATCGGATGTGAAAAGCACAACAAAATTCTTTTTTTAGTGTACACAGTAAAGAGTAAATGTGTAAATGTAGATGACATTTAGGACCATAGATAGCTTGCTGGATTTTGTGTTAGCAATGTGAATAACTTGATTTTGTATAATAAGCTATTTAGAGTGAGGCTGGAGGTGGCAACTCCACAGAACTGGGGAACCAGGTTGAGGTCCCTCCCTGGCCTAATTAGGTAATTTAGAACAGCTGAGTCAGTATATTCTGAGCAATATATTTTCCTTATTTGTTATCAGCATTGACCAAGTGGTTTGGAAAAAGGCATGCTTTAATATCAGAATAATTTTGATTTGTAAACCAGGAAATTCATTCTGTATTTACTTCATTTAACTTCATAATTATTGCCTTCATCAATTATTGCCTGAAGGCTATAGTGGCATATTTAGAAAAGCCCTAATTACTGGGTAAACTTACAACATTCTAAAAATAATTTTATTTGACCCAAGATGACTTTATACCCAATTCTGCATAAAAATATAGGAGAGCTAACCTTTTTTATGAACTTCAGATATTCACCAAATAACTTTTTTTCTTTTAATTTTTTTAGAGCATTAAATACTTGTTTGTGTATAAAGTATGTTAAACTGGAACGTAAGCAAACTTAATGATCAAGCTGCCATTCGTAATATAAGGCAGCACCTAAATTTTAGAAGCGTTGTATAAAAAAACCTAAAAACAGTATTTGTTATTTTGCTATAAACCAAGTTGGAAGCTATTCAAATATTTCGTAAATATTAGTGAACTTTGGGGTACTATTTCTTCCCTCAAATTGAATGTACTTCATGAGTAAACGCACCTTATATGTTTAAACAATTTTTGTAAACTTTTTGGATTTTTGGTGCTTATATGCTAAATCACAGCATGTTTATTTTGACATTTAAAATACTTCCCTCGATTCTGTAAACTAAAAGAATAGCTATTTTACAGTTCCAGGGATTGTGAAATAAATGTTGCTTTTTTTTTTAATTATGAAAATAAATAGTCTTGGGTTTGCATTGTGAATTTTTTTGTATTGTCCGGCAAAGTATAATATACCTACAGAACTTCACATTGTTTTTCAAGCATTTATTATACTGCCTAACTTGCAAAAAATTAAATCATTGCTGTGGTTAAACACAGTAATATCCTCTGGATATATCTTAACATGTAATTTAAGTGTCTAGATGGCAGGATATCCCTTTTTATTATAAAGACTATAAAATGATGGCTTGTGTAGTTGTCTAAAAATCTCAAAAGAAGGGATAAAGATTGGTTGTATAACTGCTTTGGTGCAGTTTGTTTTTGTCTCAATTCTTTCTTGTATAGACTGTGCCAGCTTAACTTCGGAAGCAATAATTTTACTACATTTCATTTTCGTATCTTTTTAAAATCAGCATTGTAAGTGAAACAGTGCTCATTTAATGTTAAGAATTTTCTTTATTAAATCAGATTAACATTGACATTTTAGTATTTTAAATGGTGCTTAAGGGCTTATAGATGCATATTTTTATTTGTAATCACAGATGCTTTCCCAGAACAAGTGTATTATAACATGCATGTTAAAGTGGAACACAAGAAAGTAAGAAAATAAGTGATGTTTGGGAAATTAAAGAAATACTGAGCCAGAGTCTTTATATTCATGACTTTAATTTGATTAAAGTGACATTTATCATTGTTCTTTCTATATTGTACTTGTTTTTAAATTAGCTAATATTTAATATTTTATGATAGATGAAAGCTGAATTCATTTAACCTGTATCGAACTTTATATTTTAAAAGCTTACATAAATTACAAATAATTTGACCAAAATAAAAGATATAATTTAATTCAGTTTGGTTGACAACCCCCCTCCCTTTCAAATGAAAGAACGAGATAAGACATGTGCCGCGGTCAGTTAGTAGAACAGTTAAAAGTGAAAATTCATTTAGAATACTTTTCCAAGTGAATATAAAAGGGAAAAATTGCTTGTGTTGATCACAGAGATTTGCCACCTAACCTCTTCAATTATTTCAGCGTTTTGCACAGCAATAAATCCATGTAAATTTATAGCTGTAGACTAAAGTAACAGACTTTTTCTAAGCATTCTTCAGAAGGATTTTTTTCCTGTTTCCAGGAAGATTTTTCTACTGACCAGTTGGTTTTTGATTGTCACATGTTTCTCTGATGTTGCTTGCTCCTTACTGCGATCCCCTGTTTTTAGGTTTCAGTCAAATCAAGGGCTAGCTGGAGTGAAAAGCAAGCAGGCCTGGCCAGGGCGTGTCAGTTGCTTGGCAGCATGAACAGAACATCAAAGGGTGGTGCAAGCAGCATGGTGAAAGCCCCCCAGGAAATCTTAAGGGGCTCTTTGGGCATCAGAATCTTCCCACTAGCCAGTGAGGGGCAGGCAACTTCCGGGCAGCTATATTGAGGTAACACTTTTCAACACTTAGATGTCTCTTCTATGGGTGGTTAGAAAGGAAAAGGGTCAGGCCAGCCCTTAGATTAAAGACAGAAGGAGATACGCATGTCCCGTGGGCAGTTTATAAGTAAACTTAGCCTGGGGAAGACAATCTTCCCACTACAGCTAGTTCACAGGACAGCTCCCTGTCATTACTAAACTCGTGGTTCAGCTCTGCATCAATTATGCTGACCACTGGAGTGCACTGAATATTGAACAAGTTGAGGCTACACTGGTAAGATACTCCCTTTTATCAGGGAAAGTTAATTTATGAACCTGCAAGCTTATCACGTTCCATATAGTCAGCCTGTATTTGTTTCACTTGATTGCCAGAAAGAAAAGGGGCCTAAAGCTTTAAAGAGGAGAGAATTCTGTTGTGGGGAGACAATGTGGTGTGCTGGTTAAGAGTAGGGACTTTCCTGAGTGTTCAACTCTGTTGTACTGTTAACCACTTGAGGACCTTGAAAAAGTCAATTTCCTTACTTGTAGAACAGGTATAGTACGAGCATGTGTGCCCACCAAAGTGCCTGGCGCAAAGTACTCACTAAATACAACTGCTAGTACTGCTGTTGTTATTAACCAGGCACCTTGCAGGCTAGTAACGTTTTAGCCCAAGAGAAGCATTAACAAGTCAGCCTCTCTAGCTTTCCAATTCCATCATACCAAGCAAAGGGAACCATTAAATAACTTGGGCATTAAGGTCATGAGAGAGGATGCAGCTATTCACCTGAGGTTCTCCTTGACTTCCAAGCCTCTGGTTTTCATATACTGCCTACCCTTTCAGTCATTACACATTGACACTAAACTCCATACATAGAATTCAAGCTTTCATGTATCTACAGGCAGCTAAAGCATTTCAAATGATCATATGATAGTTGCATTTACTGGCTTAGCTTTTAGGGGAAAGTATGTGACTTCAGCCAAAGAGGGTGGAAGCGTTTGCTGACTCCTTCCTGTGGCAGCAGCCAGTTGATGGACAGACGTTGATGCCTGCTCCTAATGGCCTAACCATCCACCCCATTCCTGCTGCAGGGTGGGGTGGGACTGTGATCAGAGTGGGGCACAGCTGGCACCCCACTGCACAGAACAGACTCAGTACAGGGGCCACTGGCTTCCTTGCCAAATCTTAGCCTTCTGTACCACCAGTGGAATAAAATGGCCAATTTGGAAATCTTATCTGTTGAACAGAATTGCTTTGTTCTCTCTAAGTATATCCCTCAGCAAAGCAGAGTCATGCTCAACTCTGGGAATTTTGAGTTTTAACTGAAGTTATCCTAAAACTTCATGTGAATTTTTCATGTTATTTTATCATTTACAGGTGTATATATTAACTTGGAAATGTTTTTTTTTTTTTTTGGAGACAGAGTCTCACTCTCTTGCCTGGGCTAGAGTGCTGTGGCGTCAGCCTAGCTCACAGCAACCTCAAACTCCTGGGCTCAAGTGATCCTCCTGCCTCAGCCTCCCGAGTAGCTGGGACTACAGGCATGAGCCACCATGCCCGGCTAATTTTTTCTATGTATTTTTAGGTGTCCAGATCATTTCTTTCTATTTTTAGTAGAGACAGGGTCTCGCTCTTGCTCAGGCTGGTTTCGAACTCCTGAGCTCAAACAATCTGTCCGCCTCGGCATCCCAGAGTGCTAGGATTATAGGCGTGAGCCACCGCACCCGGCCTGGAAATCTTTTAAGTTACTTTAAATTTCAGCTCCAGAAACTGTTTGGCTTGTGTATACTGTGTCTTGGCAGCCTGATGAGAGAAGTACCATGTGCTTTATTTGACAAGAACAGATATGAACTCCAAGGAGAATGCCTTGCCTTGCGAGTGCAAGCTCTGCACAGAGGAGAGATTTGAAAGCAAATAGTGCTGGGGCTATCCTTAGAAATATGTTCAGTTAGTGGAGAAGGCAGTGGTCCCTGAGAGTTGTTTGTGGGGGGCAGGCATCAGGTGGAAAGCAGAAAGGTCAACTGGCTAGAATGTTTTTAGGTGTGAGGGATGAACACCGAGCTCTAAGTCCTGCCTGCCCCGTACCTGGGAAGTGCAGACTGCCCTAGATGGCTTTCTGTTCTCCCGTAGGGAGAGGACTTGAGATTTACGTAAGTAAATGAGCTCATGCCTAGACTCCTATGAGGTTGAAAGTCAATTCTTGTGGAACTGTTAATACCTTACAAGGCAGTGTTAAAATTCTATCATGGAGCCGGGCGCGGTGGCTCACGTCTGTAATCCTAGCACTCTGGGAGGCCGAGGCGGGCAGATTGTTGGAGCTCAGGCGTTCGAGACCAGCCTGAGCAAGAGCGAGACCCCGTCTCTACTAAAAAAAATAGAAAGTATCTGAACAA